AGTTACACTAAAAATTGGAATGAAATATTGAATTGGACATGTGTGGATTGTCGTGCACCAGAAGTTCAAGGATTTTTGTGCACACATTTAATATATGATAAAAGTACTGATGCATTAGTATATTTGGGGGTGAATAGCAACCATAGGGAATTAGTAATTGTATGGCGAGGAACAGATAGTGCGTTGAATCTTTTACTAGATCTTGACTTCTGGAAAACGACTAAACCATTAGATGGAATACCCAATGCGTTCACTGCAGCTGGTTTTTATGACATGTATCATGTTGCGCAAGAAAGAGTATGGAATGCACTATTAACAAACATAAATAAGTATAGAGATTTTGAAATAAAGATTATTGGGCATTCATTGGGCGGTGCAATATCATCAATAAATGCTGTTGATTTCGGTTATAATGGTAAATTAAATTTATCAAGTTATACATTTGGTAGCCCGCGTACTGGAAATCAGGGTTTTACCTTAGCTTATCATGATTATTGTCAACAACATTGGCGAATGACTCATGATGAAGATCCAGTTCCACATTTACCACCAGTTATTGCAGAGTTCTTGCATGTTACACATGAAGTATGGCAGCATGATATAATTGGAAAATATGTTATTTGTGATAATCCGTCGTGGGAAACAAATGAGAATAAGTATTGCGCTAACAGTGAAACATTATGGTGGTTTCATTTTAACTTGAAGGATCATAATTATATGAACTTAACAAATTCATCCGCTGTTCAAAATTATATTAAAACATTAAAACCATATGATCAGATTAAATTAAAACCTTATTTATTACGAAACCATTAATTGGACAGTTAAGATTAATCATAGACAGTGGAAAATAAAAGATAATTTGTGTCGTTTTTCTTTTGCTACAAGATGAATTCCTGATTCAGATTTTTCTTAGACATTCGAATTATCATCTTAAATTCATAAGACGTGCAAGCATGGCCTTTTGCACCAGTGTTCTACTTTTGTGGATTTTAGTCACAAACATTGCATAATTTCAAAATGTTAGTAGGAAGTTAGAATACGATTGGGATGCGTTGCTTAAATGAGCATGTTCTGGATACACTGAACAGGCTATCTTCAGTAGGTATTTTGAGTCCAAAGTGATGTGCAATTCCACTGTGGCTCGGACACACTTGATCTGTTACAGTGCCTAATCCATTTAAATTCTCGAGTTGTTAGTTATACCTTAATTTCTATCTAGAGTGGTATGATTTTCTCGGTTCTCAAACTTTGTCTACTTACTATTTCAGGCGTTCCGAAGCACAGTTGATGTTTAGTCATTACTGTAACTTAGCATCGAAACTGCGTTCTGTTTCTGGATAAAATTTTTGTCAAATTGAATTGTACAGAAGAGATCAGGCTCGGTCGATAAGATTACCGTGAGATAAGAATTATGGAGCATAAGATCCTTTTCTTATTTGGACAGTTATGGCTCGTAGATAGCTTTATTTTTCGTAGATAGTTTTATTTTTATTGCTAGTCGCACATGCACACACGTCTAGTTAAAAGTTCCTTTTTCAATAGTGATCTGGATGAGAACTAGTCGTGCATCGTCCGATTACAGACGTTATGTATCTAGATTTTTCCCATAGGTGATTTTTACTAGGGTATGACCTTGGGGGACCATTGGGCTAGCTAGCTATATCTAGTAATGTATCGTGTTAGCTAGCTATATCGCTCGATAGTAAATAATCTAATTCGAATTGCTAGCTAGCTAGATCGGGTGGTATATTGAGTTAATTAGCTAGATCGCTCGATAGTCGATATTTTTCTCCTGCTTGGATGTAATTAGCAATAGTTTAGTCGATCGATTATTGGGCGATAAATCGACAGTTGCAACTAGAAAAAATCTAGCAATCGCTCGATTACCGGATTTTCCCTGTCGTTACGAAATAGTTGCAATCGAGTAAAAATCTAGTAATCGAGATGAATCGGGCGATGCTAGATTATTTTTTGACGCCTGGGCTGATCCTAGCGCTAATGCCTATGAATATACATTTTCAGAAAGCATGAATGCTCGATGCTTCGCATTCGGCAGACTTAACCTTAGTAGTAAAACTCACGAGTAAATAAATCGGTTTGAAAAAGGTCGAAAACACACACACTGGAAAAATTGGAAGAGCAATGGTTTTCATGCTAAATCAAGAAAAGAAGAAGTGCGTGTGTCTTATATACAGCGGCCATTCTTTCTTTTATCGAAAACATTATTATTTAGT